AAATTATTAAGGAGTCACTGGCCAGAGGAGAGCTCAGTAGGAGTCACCCCCATAGTGGGAACTGGGAGGAGAGAGCAAGATAGGACACGGCTTTCCTGTCAGGACTGTCCCACCAAAAAGGAGAATTACTCTCTGCAGGGGAGAGGTAGCAGCTGGGGAGCGGGAGAACTGCTTTACCTGTTGGGAAATCAAGAAGAGTGTGGGTGTACGTGGTACCCCTGCTTTTGAAGGACTGGGCGGCAAGGTGGGCTGTGTAGTCAGGGTCGGTGGGCAGCAGGGAGTCAGCACCCTGCAAAGGTGGTAGGAGTAGAGGAAAAACAGGGCCAGGTGTTACTGGGAGCTGGGATTTGTAGGAGTGCTGGCCCTAGTCTTTTGCAACTCCAGCATTACAGCAGGTGGTGTACAGAAAAGAGCTTCATCGGTCTCCTCACAGACCCACACAAAAATAATGAAGCATCCTAATGCATTTTACAGTCCACGTTTCTCAACAATTCCTACGGTTTATATACAGGTATATTGCCACTGATGATGAGCAGGATAATAATAATAATAATGATAATAATAATAAAAATGGTGGTGCTGATGATGAAAAGGCATGAGCTATTGCATATGCATGACAGGACTTTTAATATCTCTGCATGCATATCTCTGCATGCCAGCAAGACAAGAAGGGAAATGTTGGGCAGCACAGAACTGCTGTGCCTGTCTCAGGAGGAGTGTGGGTTTGGGGCAAAAAGCAACATGACTGGAGTAGATTATGCCTTCTCCAATAACATTTGCTTTCTTGATGAGCTATTTTGTAATTGAAAGTGCTCCAGAGACACCAACCACACAAAAATCGAGAGGTTTGAAGTCCGATCGGACATGGAGGGGTCATTGGCCCCGTTCTGGAGGGGAGGATGCGCAGGGAGAAGTGTGGGAGGCTGCTTGCCACATGTGAGGGCGATGTTGAGAAGGATGTATGGTATCTGGGATGGGAGAGGACTGGTCCCTCTCAGTCATCCTTTGTGGGGGGGTTGCCAGCTGGTATTGCCTGCGGATGTCTTCAAGGCACAGGAGCTCATAGGTCACTGAGCTGTCCTGAAATAGGTGTGAGAGGGGTGCTGGGCAGCAGGAGGGAATGTTGCATGAAGGGAGGAACTGGGGATGGGAGGGTTTGTGGGGTGCTCATAATTCCCTTTTCTGTTCAAGTAGGGACCTGGAGAGGGCATGCTTCAAGAGGGTTCGGCTGTCCCCTTGCCAAGGAGCTGGGGGACAGTGCCCAGAAGAGTCCAACCCTTTGGGATCTGCCTTTTGCTAGCATCTCCACCCCCCACCCCCAGCTCTTTTCCATGTGCTAGAGATTGGTCTGTTCAGAGAGACCTCTCCCTGCATCCTGATCTGGCATGTTTTTCCCCTTAGATAGTAAGAGCCTGTGCTGAAAACCTCCTTCTGGGGGGAACATTACTTAAGCTCGTGTTTAACTTTGAACTGCAGTGAATTAAAGAGAACGGGAGCACACTTAAAGTTGAGCACGGGTACCAAGGTGGGCTGGAGGAGGTCAGAGCGTTCATTGACCTGCACCCCAGTAAGGTGCTCCTGCAGCACTCAGACTGCTCCTGACTTTCCTTCAGGCAGAGTCAAGCCCAGCATGTTCCGACCATGGTTAGGTTAATTTAATTAAGACACACACTTCCAAAGCATATAGCTAGGTGACTTACCTGCTACATATTTGCTCTGGAACACAAAAGTACTAAACCCTGTTGGTTCTTACCTGCTTTTGTACCAGAGATAAATCAATGTATATGCTAGTGATGCATTCACCTAACCCGCTTTCATTTGGTGTCATTTGAAAAATGAAATATTTCTTACTGATGTCACATTGTCTTATTGGTTGTCACACCCCTATAACTTTGTGTTCCTCTTTTCTCTTTGGCACACAAATGGTATTTAAAAAAAAAATCCCCTTCACATGGTGCATACACTCTTGAAGGGTATTTTTAACCTCTTGTGCTCAGCCATATTTGGTTGTTTTCTCAAAATATAAATGGCCTGACATGCTCAGATATGCAGTGATGATTTTTTCCCCCCCCCTGGAAAAAGTAGTGTAATATATTGTGAGCAAACTTCACATCCTCATGTAGGGACCGAAATTGGCCTTTAGAGAAAATCCTCCAGCTTCCACATAACACCAATTCTCTTCCCTTTTGGGATTTATTGCACCAAACAGCCACATTAATTTTTATTTCTCTGCTGAAGTTTGCAAGACCAGGAAAGAAAAAAAAAAACCCCGCAATTTTATAGTGCAGTTATCACAGTTCCTGTAAATAATTTTATTTGGCCTGCTCCTTACTGTGGTGGGACAGATATTGTGCTGGGTGAGTTTCTGACCTGTACAAGAGGAGGAGAAAGCTTGTGAACCCCCAAGTCCCCTGTTCAGCCACAGCCCTCTGCTTTTCTGTTTGCCCAGCAAATGTTATAGGAATGCGCTGTACAAGCCAATCTTAATTTCTCTGATACAGACTTTCTTCACTCATGCAAACCATAGCCTAGAATTGTTTCCCTTTAATTGTTTCTCTAACACCCAAGTTTCATGGGTAACTGTATGCATGTTTACACTTCCAGTGTGATTTGCAGCTCCCTTTCCACTGTTTGCTCAGCAAGTGATGAAAACAGCTCCCACTGATCACTTGTCTCTAGCTACTTAACACTGTGAGAGCAGGTCCCTTCTGCTCCGAGGACACGTGAGAGGTGATCTGGGAAGCAGGTCACCTTCCAGGACAGATATACCCCTGCTTCTCCCCTCTCTCTACTCTGACTGCTGCCACCGTTGTGACAAATGAGCTGGGTTACAGGAATCGTTTCACAGGAGCTGTGGGAGAAGAAATTCTGTCCTTATCTGCCTCCTTATGTGGCTGCGGCAGGTCTGGGGAGAGCAAAAAGCCTTGGAAACAAATGCAGCCTAGTCTTGAGGCAATGCTGATGTGTTTGAATAGAATAATGATGAAAGTGGTAAGTCAGCCAAAGATGTCATATTTCAAAAGGAGGTTGTTCATTTAAGCGCCTGTGAGATTTGGGAACCCAGCGTCCTGTGGAAAGTTAGTGGCCTCAGGGTTTCTCTGTCCTTTGGCGCTTTTGAGATATCTCATCCCTCCTCAAGAATATTAATATCAGAGCTATGTAAAGTCAAGTCTTCAAAAGAGAAATAAATGGGCTATAAATAGGGGAAGGATACTCCAGAATCAACATCTTCTTAAATATTTTTTCTCAGGGTAGATCCTTTTGAGGTAGTGCTATATATTTAAAATGTAAAGTATTTACCTACTGGGCACCTAATCCAGACCTTTTACCTTTTTTTCTCGCCCCCCCCCCCCCCCCCCCCCCAGAAGGGAAGGGAGCAGAAGTAGAGGATGCTGCTGCTCTCATAGGAACATTTCCAGTATTAGAGTGATATACTGAGCTAATAAATGAAGGGAATATACGGTTAGAGAGGAGGGGAAAGGGACCCACATAGGAAAAAAGGCAGAAGAAGATTCAGAAGAGGAAGGCAAGAGAAGGTTAATTACAGACAGACCTTGAAGACAGTAGTCATTTACAAGTCATATCTTTTTTTTTTTCCTTTGGTTAATATTATAGCCCTCTGTTAGCATCCCTTAGCCATGGTATTTACTTTACAGTGGGGATGAAACAGTCTCACTGTGTCTAAATAGTTTTCAGCAGTCCTGTCTAAACACAGGACTTTCGGCATAGTTTTCAAGTAGCTCTTGGACAGATTTATTATTTTTTAATGATTTTACATTAAAAATATACATATAAACTTTTTAGAATTTATACATGCAGATAAATTTTTTAGAATTTTATAGTATATTGTTATAAAGAGAGATTTCTTCTACCCTTCCTCATCCCTTCCCCACATAGACTTTGTCTCCTGTGTACAGCTGTGGAGGAGACACCCAGTTTGGACACCCCGGCTAGATCATGAAGCAGACACAAAACCCTTTTGAGGACAGGAGGACAGATCCCACCTTGATCTAACAGGCAGCAACTTTCCAAGGTGTTCAGTTGAGGATATTTTATTATTTTTTGTGTCCAGACTAGGACTTGAAGATATGGTTCTCATTTAAGGTTCATCATTTCTCTCTTGGTTCCCAAATAATTTCTAGTGTAGCTGGAGCAAACTGTATGCTTCATCTGAGGCTTGGGCAGCTCTTGCAAGGACATGGGGCCATCCAGGTCTTGTAGAGTGAAGGACCATATCTCTGATATTGTCCACACTTTGCTCAAGTCAGAGCTGTGGCCCAGGGTCCCACCATTCAGTTTGGGGATCGGTTTTGTGTATTTTTGCTTAAGTGACAGAACAGATGGTACCCAAAGGTGTAGAGGTTTGATAACACTAAAAGCAAAATGAAGCAGTCTGGTTTCTGTTGCGGCTTACAGATAACCTCCACAATACAGTGGGATCAGCTCCAAAGGTCCCTGCTTTCAGCCCTGAGCATGAGGTGCATCAATGGGAGATGCTGGAGACCTCCTTGGGGCATCACCTCTCCATCCCTGGCATCCCCTGGGTGGAGGATCCCCTCTCTTTGCCCTGTCCCTATTGCAGTGTGGTTGGGGAGTGTACCCAGCCTGGCACGTCAACCATAGCAGGATGTGGTCCTGTGCCAGGCTCCTGCCCTCTTTTCGGGATACACTGTGCAAAGGATGAGGGGGAGGCAGGGCTTGCCAGGCGGGTGCACTGACCTCACAGGAGCCCCAGAAATGAGCATGGCTCATATATCTCACTCTTCAAATAACCCTGCTCCAGAGACAGGGTGAGACATCTTGATTCAGACCTGCTTGAAATTTGCTGAGCCAGTTTGCTCTCCCATGCTTTCATTTTTCTCTTTTCCTTCTCTGTTTCTCTCTATATATTTTCACACATATATATACATGCACACACACATCCCCCTGCCCCCTTTCTCTGTATACCTGTTATTTTGATGCTAGTGTACTGTAGCATTCATGTCTGTGTGCTTTCCCAGGCCGTTCATTGTGCTGCCTCCCCTGATGGAGTGGATACGGGTTGCCGTGGCTCACGCGGGGCACCGTCGCAGTTTCTCGGTGGACAGCGATGACGTACGGCAGGCAGCGAGGCTCCTACTGCCGGGAGTTGACTGCGAACCTCGACAGTTAAAGTAAGTCCATGAAAAAAAAATCGGTTGCTTTGTGCAAAATGTGTCTCTCTTTCCTGGTGACAGTGAGCGAGCAGGCAGGCAGAGGGCTCTGTTATTGCCTTGAGAGGTGCATGGATGCTCGGGCTCGTCGCTGTGTGCGTTGCAAAATCGGCTCCTGGTATTTGCTCACATCCGTGGATAAGCTGGTTGCATGGTAATGGGTGCCTGAATATCTCACAGCTGGATCGAGCCCGAAATTTGCTCATCAGAGCTCATATAGTGGTGGTTTTTTCTCTTACTATTAGGTTCTGCTTGCTAATGAGGGGCTGAAATCTGCTAATTGTCTGCTTCACATTGCTTTGATATAAAATACTGAAATGTAATTGGCAGGGCTGCAGATATTTTTCACTGCTTTGTTTTCAGCATTAATGCTTAAAGGGCACATTTAAACTTATAGGTAAGACTACCTCTTGCAGTCAAATTGTGTTTTTCATGCTAATGTCCGTGCAAATTAGTTATAAATGTCAGCCTAGATAATTTGACTTTTTCATGTATCAAATGTGACCTTTTGGTTTTCTAATGAAGTCTTAAAGTATTTATTGCCAGGATATTTTCTTAGTGTCTGTTTTGCCTTACTAGTATGTACATGTATAAAAGCATGATCTAGGACTATTCTGGAGTCAAGAATGTATTTGGTTTTGATTTTCATATGAAAAGACATTCTGCATCTGCCAACGTAGAAATTACTCACTGCTATTGCTTCACAAATCTGTACATAAAATCCAATTTTAAGCTGTCTGCTTCTTCATACAGCAATAGGTGCATTCTTTCCTGCAACAGAGAAAGCAGGTTTCATCTGTATGATTAGCTGTGACTACCTGCATCAGAGCAGCTGCCTTCTGTTGACTGTGGCCTTGACATTCTCTTTCACCAGAGTGTAATACTTTACTTTGAGATCTGCATAGGCTTTTTATAGTCACAGCTATTCAGTATTTAACCGAAGAAATATATTGAATTTCAAAAGCGAAATCTTGAGCGTTTCAGATTTCAAGTCTTGGCTGTAATTGTTTTCCCTTTGGTGTGACCATCTTGGCCCTCATTTCTAGAAGCATAGCGTTTTGCATCCCTTCTGAAATGTCAGGACTTCTAGGTGCTACGCACTTTCTGAAGACCTAGCACTTGGTTTTGAAAAGGCACAATTAATTTAATACTTCTGCCAGTATTTAGGTAGGATTACAAATAAGGCAATAGTGTTTCTACTCTACATCCTCTGTCATAAAAATTAAGGTAGATACAATTAAATATCTGTGGATTAAAAAACCACAATATACAATTGTTAAAGCTGTATTTTCTCCGTGTGTGTGTTCATATATATATACACACACACACACACACACACATATATATATGTATGTGTATATATATATGCCATCAACTTTTAGACTGTTTTCCAGGAGTTTCAAAATCATTTGAAGTTGGGGAGAGTTGTATATGCTGCAGAAGAATTTATTAGTTATGAGTAACAAATGAGCACTTAGTTTAAAGTTACCATCAGGAGTTCATTTCATAAAGAGTAGAAGTGATTGCTGTTGTCCTTGCTTGTCTTGCAAGCGGGAATGAGCCTGAAGAGTGCTGCCTGGGATTAATCGGGTGGGAATGAAAAGAGAAATCATTCCTCAGACAAATTCTGGATTTTAGAGAGACCAGAGTTTGTGATGTGCCCTTTTTTGACTGCGGGGGCCTGATTCACCCACTGATGTCCCAAAATGACAATCTCACTCTACTGTGCTGGTAGAGGTCTGTAAATGAGTGTCCGTGTACTTCAGTTTTTATTTTAAGGTCTGTGCCTGCTGCCAGTGTGGTGCAGCAGGTTCTTTGCGTAGCTGCAAATCAGACCTTGGCTGCCTGTAATTCTGAGATGAAAGGAAGGACTGAGTTTTTCTGAAGAATAATGTGAGGCATCAGGATGTTAATTTTAAATCTTGTAATTTTTTATTTGTATTCAGTGCAGACCCTCAGCCGTTCTCATTTCCACTAAGTCAAGTGCCACCCTTTCATGCCTTCCTGTTAGAGAGGGAGTGTTTCCAACCATCAGCTCCTCAGCAAGCATCGATTTCATAAATGCGAACACTGGGAGGGGGGGAAAAATACAACAACTTTGCAGGGGATGGCTATTGAAATAAGCTGTGTGACGGATGACAGCTGGAGGATTTAAAATGCAGTTAGCTTGATATATTTTGTGACTTTTATAGAAATGGCTTAATAAGTAGAACCTTGAAACTGGCTCAATTTCTAGGCTTTTCTTAGTAGACTTCCTTAGTCTCTAAAATATAGAGGCCTGACACCAAAAGTTCTCAGGGTCCCATGTGATACTGCATCTTTCCACGGTGTTGATTCAAAACCTGTCATTGCAGATGCATAAAACAAAATCAGCTTCTATGGTGGAAAAAAACACATATGGGGAGAGGGGGAGATTGGCAGGATCTCAAAGGCTATGAAGTTCAGGATCAGTGTGGATAGAAACCAAATGTTCAGTTTCTTATCTGAACTACAGGATGGAGGTCTCTCAGCAGATTGCTGTGACACTTCCCAGCACAATCACATACTCCAGCAGTGAGGTTCCCGATACGTGGCTTTGTAAATCGTCTCTGCTTTCTTCCTGCCTTTCATTCCAGTACTTACTCTCTTTCTCCCCTCTTCTGATCCTTTTTTAAAAAATCCGTTGCCTTAATTTCTTGAAATGTTTTCATCTCCTGAAAGAGGATCTGCTCTTGCTGTGGATAGAGGAGTGAGGGAAGTTAGAATCAGGCAGGAGCTGCCTGTATCCTTCCTGATCTTTTTTCATTTTACAGCAGCAGGCATTCCAGACAGTTTCTTCCCTTTCCCCAGCCTTGGGAGATGAGCAGGGATATAAATGTTCACCTTTCCCCAGGAGTGGAAGCTTTAGACAGGTGGCTGTCTCCACCTTTTGCAAGGAGGTAGGTTTCACAGATAGATTGAGTGCTGAGTGTCCAAAATACTCTTTGTCATAGTGGGAGACCAGACTTACATGAAACCTCACCTGTACCCAGGCCCTCTTGGGCCACCTGGGGCAGCTGGACGTAGCCAGTAGAGAACTGTGTGCAAAGTAGCTCTCTGCTGGCATAAATCTGGTGAAGGTGGGTGCTCTGCTACCTGCACTAGTCCTTTGATTAATGAAGGCATCAGGGTTGAAGGTAATATGTTTCCAGAAAGAAATTAGTGGTAAAAACTGTGTTTACCTGCCTTTCTCTTCCAGTAAGGTAGCATCACTTCTCAGTCTGCACTGGGTCTGCCTGGCTGCAAACAGATGCCACTGGTTTTGGCTGCTCCTCATCATCACATGTGCAAGGGGTCCCTTTCCCCTTGCTCTCCCTAAACACAAGAAACTCTTTGCATGTCTTTCCTTCCCCTGTTCTTTGGGACATTTGTTTGAAACAAAGAAACCCCAGTGTGTTAGGCCCGGGGAGGGGGGCGGGATTGCTACTGGATGACTACATCAGGGGTCTGGACACTGACGGCAGAGAAACAGAGCAAGGTAGGAGTATCACATATTGCTCAGCAGAGAATCTGTTGTGCTTTTTATTGGCGTCAGTGGCTTAATTTCTGGTTGGAGTGTATCATGGAACCCTGGAGGTTGTAAAGAAGCTGGACAAACTGACCTGAGACCGGTGGTAATGTCATGTGAAGGACTGTTGCTTGGTCACTTTTGTACCTGACTGGATAAGGGCTATTTTCTGGCAAGTCAGAGGTTAAAAGGAGGATATAGTCGTGTGTGTGTGTGTGTGTGTGTGTGTGTGTGTGTGTGTGTGTTCATGCTGATATCCAGAAGCAGCAAACATTGAAGAAAAATCCACACAGAGATGTGAGTACAACTCCCTTCTACCAAGGGCCATTTCCATATGTTATTTGAAGTATTTTCTTCTACCCTCAGCATTGCCTCAGACCTCTTTGATTCCAAGTTGTCCTGTCTGTTTTTTCTGGGAAAGCTGATTATCCTGGGTGTTTATGGGGGTGGCAAGCAGCCTCCCTACCCCTGAGAAGGGATCTGGGCTCTGCTGAAGGGAATCAGGTGGATGGCATCTCCACTCCTGGTACTTCCAGTGATGCAGGAGGAGTCATTTTGGGAGATGCCAGCTTGCACTGTCTGAGGATGGAGTTCTGGCTCCTGAACCCAAAACATCCCAGCTGGATATCTGATCCCCAGATTGGCTGGGGAAGGAATGCCCTGCAGGGTTGCTGACTTAGCCCATGTCAAGGGACCTTTGTGGTGTCTGAATGAAGAGGAACACCAAATGTGTCCCCATGGCACCAAGATCCTTCAGAAGTGTTGCCCATGAGGCTGGGCATTTCTCTGCAGCCATGAAGGTGTCTGGAAGCCCTCTCATGCTCATTAGTCCCCTTTCCCCTTGCCCAGCAGGCTGCAAAGCTCCTGGCTGGGATTTGGAGGAGAAGCAGAGTTTAGTCATCTTGAGGAGTGGCTTCTTCTGATGCATAGATGAAAAGCCCTTCTTTCTCTTGTATGGTGGAGAAATGAGATTGCTCCCTGTGGCATTCATTACTGTCCACCATAACTGCACAATGGAGGCAAGTGCCACGCTGTCACAGGAGGAGCCCAGGGCAATTCTGTAAAGAGGTCTGAAGTCCTTTTTGGCAGCTGTACTCAAAGGGCAGCAATGGGAAATGGCATTTTTGCTGTCAAGATCCTCATGAGTGGAGTCCCACAGGGATCTGTCTTCTTGCCCTATCCCCCTGTGGAGACCCCTTGGGCTCTGATACCACCAGGCTGCCCGTGAGAAGCATCGCAGTCCCTGTTTTGCAGTCCCTGGTTGTTGGGGGGATGCTGGAGGACAGAGCTAGGCAGCACAGTTTGCATGCCGAGCCCACTGATGCGGTCAGAGCCTCTGCTTACATTCCAGTCAAATTTAGTTGGAGGTGGCAGTATCGCTGCCAGTCAAGGCAGAGCTGGTGAGAGCAGGAGTGGGTGTGATAGGGCTTGTGCC